AACTATCTGATATAGTGGACCAACAATGTGTCATGTACCTGTAATATTTTGAGCACTTTCCAATAAGTACCATGCATATATAATATATCTAGGAATTATATCTACCTCTCTCTATCTGTATATATATATATATATAAAAACAAATACACATACACACATATAGACATGTATAAAATATTCACTCATCCCTTTTCGTCTTTTTTATGAAGATTATCCATGAATATAGACAATAAATTAAGATGTCATTATTTATTCTAAGCCTTTATGATTTTACTCTTGTAAAGAAAACATCTTGATCAAGTCAGAATTTTGTGACTAATCATAAAATATGTGTCTATTGTCAAAGTAAGAAAGGAAGTGAAATGCATTTTTTAAGATTTGTCAAGTACATCACTCAAAAGAGTTCAGCACAAACATGTCCCTATTTATATTAAATATGTAAATATACTTTAGTTCAAAATATTCATTATTTATATGAATATATAATGAGCCATTGTCTGTGGTATCAGGTAACAGTGTTTCTTCACAGTGGAAAATGATTAATCATTAATAAATTGCTTGTCCTTTCGAAATAAGTGGAGAAAGATTTGTTTCCAATGGAATAAGATGAATGCAAATATCAAAATATTAGAGATGAGGTCTGGGAAAAGGAAGGAAAATTTGTAAGAAACCTTAATTTCTTTGCCTAATCGAAGACAATGACAATAAATCTTTTAGCAATTCTGAAGGTAGAGCTCTTTAGAAGTTCACAAATGATAGCAAATCGTTTTCCTTTTCTTGAACAGGTGCCAACATCACTGAGGTTACTTTATCTTTCTTCTTCCTTGAACATTTCAACAAAGTGGCATCAATACAGAAGGATAGAAAAATTCTTCCACACATCAGGATTTACTTTGACAGAACTTTTATTATTAGACATTGTTTTTTTTTCTTTTTTATTATTGGCATCTTGATATAATTCTTCTTTTGTTGCTGATAGATTTCAGGCCTTTAAGTTAAATAGCAGGAATTTAGAATCAGAAGAGATTCTTCATATTCTTGAATCCTGATATGACATGATGTCTACAGGATGCAAATCTATATTGTTGTTCAGAAGTCTCTGGACTTGAAGGCTGAAGAAGATATCCGTCAAAAATGATGGGACATAATCAAAAGAAAAGAAAAGCAAATGGAGATGTAACAAAAATAAATGGAATAATGAAAGTATTTAATTGAACAACTTCAAGTATTAATACAGTAATATGCTTTTGAATCACCCCAAGCAAGGCAGTAAAGCCACTAAGACGCAAGGGGTTGCTAGGGAAAGAATAAGAAAAAAGAGAAATATTATTAAGGACTGAGGACAACAATCAAGAAGTCAGTAGATAATGATTGATAATGTATTTAAATTTTGAAGATCAAATTTGGCTGGAAAGTATAGAACCAGAAGAAATTTTGACAAGTGAGAAATGTGAGAAAATAAACCATTAGCAGAGAACAGTTGTATCTTGCCTATTCAACTTTAGATCGATGAGATCTTTTTGACAGTATAGTATTGCACTTAAATTCATAAAGTCTCGGTTCTGTAGGGGTAAATTCATCAGAACAATAAAACAAAGAATATATTTATAGAATAGGCACTGGGAAGCTACATTAAAGCAGTGAGAACGTAACTAAAAACAGAGATGCCAGGTCAGGACCAGTAACATTGCAGATTCTTCTTTGGCTTTTATTAAGAACCTCTAAATATGTAGCAGAAGCATCATACCATATGTGGCAGTAATATTCAAAGCATGGACAAATGGTAGATATATGTATGATAGATTATGAAGAGAAAAAATTGTCTAGCATGACACAATGAACCAACTTTCTTAGTAGCTGACTTAGCAATGGATTCAATATAATTATTGTTAGGCAAAAAAATGATAATAGGAAGTTGCATGCCTAGATGACAAAGGTTTTCTTCATTTTCTCAACCCAAAAGCCAAAATATAAAAGATATTAAAATTTACCAAAATCTCAAATATGAATGATTTCATTCTTCAACTCTCATTTTAGCAAACTCCTGTTCAGATAAGAAATTTTCAAAATTCAGTTAAAATTTTTCCTAAATTACAGAGTCAGGTGATTTCTACAAAACACCCAAGAAGAAAAAATAAGCTAAGCTCAAAATGTTCCAATATTTAGCTTTTAATACGAGCAACACAAATCATTGATCAGGAAATATTCTAAAAATAAAGCAAATAGATAAAGTAACCGAAAATGGGGTGACTTTTTTTGTTGATTCCTTTTAAGCTACGTGGAAAAAATTGTGGACAGCTTTTGACAGGAAGAAGAGTTCATGTCATTTCATTCAATATTGATAGATTCAAACAATTGATGAAGCATTAAAACATATTTTCATTTAAATTTCAAGACCAAATATTCTTTATGAAGTTCAAATCTGCACTCTGCCTCAGCCAAAACAGAATGTTTCTTTTGTTGGCATTGGCATATGTTAGCATTGTCTTGTTGAAAAATTATCTGATTGATGCTTTTCAGAAGTTTATTATCATTGAAGGAAGGAAAAAAAGCTTGCAGAAAGGTTTTCTTCCAAAAGCATTGACTTTTCAGAATGAAGCATTTCACCGGTGCCAAAGAATCCTCATCTCATAACAGCTTTTCTTCTTTTGCTTAACTTAGGTTGAGCTGCATTTGCAATTCGATTTTTTTACATGATCTTCAAAGTCACATCACTGGATTATCACCATCTAAATCAGCGGTTCCAAAACTTTCTGCATTGCCACCCCATTGCATACCAAAACACAAACCTAACGCCCTCACCTAAATGAATAGTCATGGTTTGATTGAATTTTCTTGGTGCTTGTATTGCATGTCAAATGAGTATCTAAGTATTTCCCATAATCAGCCATATGCCATCCGTGATACACATTTAGGCAATCAATGGCTTTTTTTTAAATTCATCCTGTAGACACAAAATCTAACTTAAATAATCTTTTTTTCTCTTCTTTTTTACTATTGTTCTCCCAATAAAAAGGCCCAAGCGCCACTCAAGGTAGATGGTTACTGATTGAGGTTGTAAGGCTGTAAAAGGAGGAGATAAGTGATACAGATTATGAGGATGTCTATGACAGATAATGGTTATCCTCAGAATTAAAAAGGTTAAGGTTGTAATGATCAGGGAAGCATCCTCTTGGGAGTCTGTGAAACAGAGTAGCAGCTCTTGTGAAAAAGCTGACTGAATGGAATATCCTTCTTACCAACAGAATATGAAAGAAATAAGAATCATTTTTTTCCCATCTCGTTGCTTTCAGTGTACAGTGGAAGCTTGGTTAACAAATTTATTCGTTCCTCAAGGCTGTTCGTAACCTGAAATGATTTTGTTTCGGTTAATTCGTTTTGGCTCAGTTTGGCAATGTTGTTTGAGAACTGAAATTTTGTTTGCTAATCGAGGCATTTTAATCTGGAATTTTCTGTTCAAAAACCGATTTGTTCGACATGTAAGACGTTTGAGAACTGAGGTTGCTCTGTATGAGTATTTAACATGTTCTCCTTGGCACCTGATTTGTGTTTGTGCCTTTGCTGACTATATATATATATATATATGAAATATTTATAAAAAGAGATAGAATGATTACTGATTGTCAATAGATGCATGATGCTGAAAGCATTAAATTCTAATATTGAACCACTTCCTTCATCAAATTAATAATGACAAATATCTTTGCTTGTTTTTGATTGTTTCATTTGATTTGTTCTTTAATTTTTAATTTTTGAATATCTGGAACAAAGAAAAAGTTTTTGACAAGAGAGGATTTCACATACATTCCATGTCATGGCAACTTCACATGTAATAGTGTAAATATTGTCTTATCCACCAAAATCACTGACATTAACCGAAATTTCCAATCTCTAATCTTTGCTTTGTGCTATTAATTTTGCTTAGAATTTTTTTTTTTCCTTGGGAAAACATCAAATTTTTATTTGGTTAAATCAAAATCAAAAGAAAATATTAAAAACCTCATTTTTTTTTTATTTTCATTTAACAGACATAAAGAGAGAAATATACATTTTTTTTTTCACAGACATTACTGTTTTTGTTTTGTTTTCATCTTTATTGATACCAGTTTTTATATTTTTGCCTATTTTAGCAAAAAGGCTTTTGAAAACTTTTCAGTTCATATTTTGTCTTGTTCAAGTCAAAATGAATATCTTAAATAATATGAAAATATTTTTATTTTTTAGATTTTAATATTGTGATGAGAGATTTTACCAGCCTGAAAATAATCTCAAACTTTTAATTGTTTGCGGAAATGAATTCATCAATAAAATTTGCAATATCAATAAATCTGTATCTAATTATATATCATTTTCAATTTGATTTTTGTGTCAAGCTTTTCATTTAGAGCCAAAGCATGTCTTTGTTAAAAAAAAAAAAAAAAAAAACCAGGTTTATTAATATGCTGTTCTATTGCGTCTGTTGTTATAAGGCTGTCAATTGTTCCAGCAAACAATTTGATAATTTAAGGGGAGTTAAATCAGAAAAGTATGTCTGCAAAAGTTTTTTACTAAAACAATCAAGGGCTCAATATTAACATTTAAAACTTATTGGGCTAACAGATTTTACAGACATAAAACTCCTTATTATTATCTTTCCGATTTTGTACGTTTAGAAATACATTTCATATATGAGCTTCAGGCAGGGTTTTTGTGAAATAAAGAACTTATACAAAATGCTTCAAGAAATGAAGTGAATCATTTACTTAGTCTAAAGGTTGATTGATTTGTTTTTTTATGGCTTATCAACCTTTTGCAGGTAATTTAAAGCCAGAGCATATCATTACATTCTAAGAATATTTTAGGGATAATATAGATTTTCTCATACAAAAAAGATGATGGTTCTTGCCTTTTCCAAGGCTATTTGTGCAGAAGTGAATATAACAAACCTGAGTGGAATTCAAACACAGTTTTCCTATTTCTGATTCTGAGCCATTATCCATTACACCATCTGCATATCCCAGCTTACAGCACCTGATATTCCCAAATGGTCACCCATCTAAGTACTGACCAGGCTCTATGTTGCTTAACTTCAGTGATCAGACAGGAACCAATGTTTCAACATGATATGGCCGTAAACCAAGAATATAGTTTTTCAAAAATTATATTTAAAAAATATTTATTTGTGAAATTATTTAAAAAAATAATATTTATAAAATAACATTTTCAAAGTAATATTTGTGAAATTATATTTAGAAAATAATATTTATTTATGAAATAAAACTGTTCAATTTCTTTCAAATGAAATTGTGTCCAAGTCAATCGGGATTGATTGGATCCCACATGTTTATTCCTCAATCCAAAGAATATGAGAAGAAAAATAGAAAGGGTAGATCTGGTTTGTGTGTTAATGTATTGCAAGGGACAAAATGTCTGTGTCAGGCAATAAGCATAAATAATTCTTGATTAAAGAATTCAAAGAAAATTAATGCACTCATTCTGTAGGGAGGAAAGACATGTGAACAAAATCACTGACATGAAATTCTACAAAATAAAAACATTAGGGACGTTTTTTTTAGACATTGAAAGAATATTATTTGCTCACTCCACAATATATTAATTCCAAGTTGCAATTTTTGGATCAATAAAATAGATAAACATGAAATTCTGCAAGTGTGTGTCTGTCTGTGCAGAGAGAGAGAGAGAGATTATATCTATATATTTGTAGAAAAAAAAACATTGGGACAAACTTGACAAAATAAAATAAAAATGGACATCGTAATATATGAAAGAGTGCTGAAAAGTTAAAAAAAAAAAACAGGGCATCTACTCAAACATGTATATCCCCAAAAATAATGTTTGAAGTTATATATATATATATATATATATATATATAAGAAATATAGTCTTAAGGTGTGCTATATTTATGGGATAAAATGCTCGATATCAGAGATAGAGCGTGTGTAAATATAAAAGTGAACATAGAAGTCAACACTTAGAGGTGACAGTCTGTTTCATGCTATATGCAATCGTCAGGCCAGAATTGCATATAGCATGAAACAGACTGTCGCCTCTAAGTGTTGACTTCTATGTTCACTTCTTTTCTTTCAGATTTAACAAGTCTTTGGCACTTTTAACCATGGAAATATTAACAATCAAACAATGTGTTAAAGTTATCAAAGCCTATAACAAAAATGGATGTTCAAACAGAATTTGAATGAGAAGTTCCCAGGTCGCATCATCTCTCAAAACAGTAAAGTCAATTGGCTGTTGTGATCGTGCGACTTGACGCCTTTAGATTTCTTCCTTTGGGGTCATCTCAAAAGTAAAGTCTATGCCAACAAGCCAACAACAATTCAACAGATGAAGGATGTGATAATAAGGCATATTGGTGAGATTGAGGAGCAACTATGCAGAGACATCATCAAAAATTTTGACCATCGAGTGGAGTTGTGACACAGAAGCCTTGGTGGACATTTGGGCAACATTATTTTTCACACATAATTGCCATGACTTAAATAATATGATCCAATATTTTATATTTTTATTTCACACATGTATGTTTGCTTTTGATCTTGTTGACTGGACTGGATAGTAGCTGGGGACCATCTGTGAGAAAAAGAGTACCATGATGCAATTCACTCTGCCAGAAATTTGGAAATGGCATGCTGTACTGCTTGGCATTCGCACCAGAAGCTCCAATGTGAACATTTCAGAGTGTTTGGGTGCCAATCTGAGGACAGTTCAGGGGATTTAGAAAGAGTTGGATGAGTCTAATGATGATTATGAAGGTACAGCAGCTCAGAAAACTCACTCTGATCATTCTAATGTGAAAAGAACTCCCAAATTTGTTGGTGAGGGCCTTAGACTCAACATGGAGGCTGACATCAAGTACCTTGAGAAGGTTGTGCTGTTCTGGATCAAGTGGGTGGATGCTAGAAGACCCTATGTCTGGCAACAGGACTCTGCAATGTGCCACACAAACAGGAGAACATTGTCATGGCTGCCAGACAATTTCTGCGACCAGTTCACCACTTATATCAAACAACTTAACTCCATAGACTGCAACCCCCTTGATTATTATATGTGGGACGCAGTTGAGAGAGAGATCAACAAAACTCCTTGTAACACCAAAGATGAACTGAAGGCAAGGATTATGGCAGCATTCCCCAACATAAACAGGGAGACCGTCCAAAAGAGTTGAAGGAGATTCTAAAGTTGTCAGGAGGTCATGGTTGAAGCCAGTAGCAATTTTATTGAATAAATTTACTCTTTAGTATTTCAAGATATTTTTGTGTAATTTTGGTAAATATATCTGTTAAAATGGGAATGTCAGTTTTGTTTTCATTTTTTGCATCATTTAGATGACAATCTATCCATCACACCCTGTATATGTACATTTTATTTTTACCATAAATATACCAAAAAGAAATTTCTGTAAAAATGTGCATTTATATTTGACAGAGTGAAACTTGAAAAGTACTTTTCAATTTGCATGATTTTTGAAAAGTAGAATTTCAACATCAGACCTCTTTGATTCTTTTCTTTATTTCTTTCTTGAGAAATGACCAAAAAAAAAAAAAAGAAGCAATAATATCGTCTTAGTTATCAGAAAATGAAACCCTACACATAAATTACATTTGGCATTGTAAATTGTCAATATTAGAAGATATTGTTTGTTTTCAATAAGAAATGAATTTTTATTTTTCCTATTTATTTATTTTTTAGTTATTCAATAGATAAACAATTTAAATAAGGATATAATTTGATGCAATGAAAAAAATCATGCTGACTTTTTTCTCTTTCAGATCATTGTTAAGCAAGAAAAATGAAAACAGATATTGAGCAATAATCCAATATACTTGTACACAGACAATGAATACTGTGAGATTTTTTGAGCTTCAGAAAAATACACTGAAATGAATGTCAGGGGTCAATTTGATAATATCGACAGCATATAATGATTTGCCTGTCAACTCCAAGAATATCAGACATTATTTCCTTAAAAATAAGCAATCAGATCATTAAGGCTAAACTCAGAGCTTATAATATCTTCAAAAAAAGATCAAGAAAACATTCACCTCAAATTCCTGGTAGAAGGTTAACAATCCTTAATTATGTCAAATATTTCATTCAAAGAGATTCTTCATTTAAGGGATTATCATTCTTATATTGCACATAATTGAAAATATAGTTTTATGTGTTTTGTGGAGAATATGGGATGCCAATTTGAAATAAATGGAATCAGACATTATTCCAATTTTCATATGGATTATATTAATCATAATATTTTGACTGGTGTTATCTCTAATCATCTTCAGGTGAAATCCTTCACAATATGATGAACAGAGATCAAGCTAGCTGCAAAGAAGAGATAAGAACAATAAAAACGAAGATGCTGGTTGAAAATCATTGGCAGCTGATATAAAATACATCATCTCTTCATGGGCAGAATGTTAAAGACTTTCCTCAAGAGGAGATAAAAAGTGGTTCTTGACGAGAGGAGCAGGTGGATAGCAAGAATGATAAGCAGATTGATGCTGTCTGTCTGTCTGCCTGTAATAAGTCAAAACTGGATGAATATCTAGTTGGTCACGAGAGAAAGATCTAGCTATTGTGAAGCTCGTATAAAGAAAGAGAACTGACCGATTACATCAGACCACTGACCATGAAATCCAATTCCATCTGGTGTCTGTTTGTGTTGTAAGAGTGGATTATTCTGAAAGGAAATAGTGGTATGTAGCCAAAGCTTTGATTCCAGATACAATATCATGAAATCAAGTGTCAGATGATAGAATCAAGGATCTGAACCACATAAGCCCAGAAATGACAATAAAACAGCTTAGAAATCTCAGACTAAATTTTGATGATAGATTTATGTTACCTGATACATTTCCACTGGCTTTATAACATATTCTTTCATTTAATTTTGGTGTGGTCTTGGACTTACAGGAAGGTTAGAAAAACAAAGGCTTGAGGTGATTGCTTTAAAATACAATAACCAAATATAATAAGATGAAAAACTGCTTTTACCTACTGGTTCCCTGATATGTACTGACATTCCTGTTTCTCAAATGTTTACTATGTTTGGCACATTTAATAAAAGGGAAAACTGAGCAATCATCCATAAGTGCACTATGTACGCTGTCTTGCAATTCTTACTGATAAAAATACAGTGGCAAGGAACATGGTTCATTTGATAAAAGCAATAACTTCAATGACTTTCTTAGGATTTTATAAGGTTTTATTTGTTCTATGTTTTTGGTAATATGCATGTCTGAAAACAATTTATGAATCCAATTGAATTTTATATTCAAACAATTTCAAAATGTAAGGTTTCTATAATCATTGTCCGCCAAAGGCAAAAACCAAAATTTCAAATACAAGGAGCATTAATCAGAAACAAACATTCTTTTTATCTTTTTAGATTTTTAACCAAGACAGTTTAAATTTATTCTATTCATGTTCCATTGAATAACCAGAAAGGCAATGTGCTCTCAGCTAAAACAGATATGTCTAAAAGTAGAATATTATATATTATTAAAGCACAAAAAATTAATAAACTTAATTTCTTTAACACATGGTGCTTGATAAGTATTAAAATTAATAAATTAGACGATGACTTCTCCATATACAAAGTGAGTACCAATTCCCTACCTACAGAGGTTAGGGTACTGAAACGTTCTCAGCCCAACCCACTACCTAAAATATGACTAAATTAGCAAACTTCAGTTTTAAGAAGAGCTTACTGGTTGGTTTGAGAACTTTTCAACAATCCCTTGTAAAATTTCATTACCAACTCGTTTACTGTTCTCTGAAGTTCCACACATTATACAAACAGCTATCTGCATCTTTATAGTTTTATTAGAATATTTCAGCTGGAATGTTTCTTGGCAATCTTCTAGAGCAGTGTTTCTCAAGCAATAGAATGTCTAAGAGCAAATGAAAATATCATAGCACACAATTTTTAAAGGGTATACATTTAAATTGGATGAAATAAAACCATAGATTTTTTAAAAATAGACACACAAATATGAACTTAGTTTATTTCAGTGTTTCTATCCAACTATTTGTGCAGATGATTTAGTGTGAATCCCGTGTCTGGTGTTTTTTTTTACAGTTTTGTGACAATGTTTT